ATTTCATTGACTTTTTTCTGTGAGAATTTGGAAAAGGTAAACTGAACCCAGATTTGTTCTGACAGGCAGCATGGACGTAAGTAGCACATCAAATTCTCAGATCGCCACACTGGTAAGAATAATACTTTTACCCCTTGTGAATATAAATGCTGAAATTTTTGCTTACGTTTGCATCTGCAAGTTGGTTTCCTCCATCCTGTCCACTCTTTCTCTTCCACGTATCTCCCTGCTGGCTCCTGACCCCCCTCACTCACCATCCTCCCCCTCTCCTCCGTCTCAGCATGCTGACGCTCTGTGTGGCAGCTGCCCGTCCTCTGGTTCTGCCCCACAGGCCAGCAGCCTTTGGCCCAACCTACCGCCTTCTGGAGCTGCATTCCCCACCTGGCCTGGGCAGCCAACCCAGCCAGTGCCATGCTGGACCGGCCAACCAAACACGGCCTGCTGGCCCGCTTCACAACCAGCACCAGTTTCTGTTCCAGCTCCGATTTCAGTTTCGGCACCAAATCAAGTTATAACACCACCAGCACCAACCGCAGTGCCTGTACAAGCTCCATCAGTTCAGCAGCCCTGTCAGCCATGCTGGCCAGCCCCTCAGTACCAGCCGATCCAGCAACCAGCTCCCATTCAAACTCAGGTTCCTGCCGTAGCTCCTGCTGTTGCCCCTGCAGCCACCATCCATCCGAGTGTACCAGGATGGCCAGCTCACCCTGGTTGGCCTTATAACCCGGGACAGTCAGGATGGCCTGGACAGAACCCATCTATGATGCCTCTACACTGGCTTCCCCCCACATCCGGACCTATGGTCAGTACTAAAGAACCCAAAGATAAATCTGCAATACAATGGTGTTGCTGTGCTTTAATTAAGGTATATGTTACCTCCCTCTCTCCATGCAGAGTGTGCCGTACAACTTAAACCTGGCTCGAGGAGTATATGACAAAATGATGATGACGATCCTGGGTCACATCAAACCAAACGCTAAAATGTGAGCCTCATAGATGCATTCACAGCTCTTATTTTAACATGTCCTTTTCATTGGGATTTTATGGAACAGACCAACACAACCACCTGAAGATAGTCATGGATGTCTCTCTTAAGGCTGTTTAAGGTTAACCATTCCTTGTCTTTATTCGGCCCAGAGAATTACCCTGAAAATCAGTTTCCATTTCCTCCCACAGATTAAGTTAAGTTTAACATATTAACCTAGAAACTCAAGCTTGGCTTTATCTATTTGATCGGACTTAATAATAATGAAATGTCTTAAATCTGAGTAGCACATCAAACACACAGTGCTCCTTCTCTCCTTTTGAGAGTGTATCTTTATGCTTGTCCAGTCAAAAGAGATGAGGACGTAGCTCAGTTAAGTTAAAGACGATCAGTGAAGACTGTTCAGCCACAGAAAAATTGTTGTGCAAATACTTCAAAAGTATTCACACAAAAACACCCAGGGCTGCTTGAGTGTTGTTGAAACTATTTTTAGTTATCTTCTCTACATGGTTGCAGACTGCTGCTCTTTTTGCCAACATTAAATACCAAATGCTGCCCTCTGTTTTGGCAACCCTGGACCTCTCATATGATTGGCTCAGACACCAGAAAGTAAACACTGGATACAAGCTACACCAAAGTAGATCTGGGCCGTACCTCTTGGTTTGAATGGAGAAAAACATAGAGAATGTTATTTTCATCCCAGGTGATAAATAAGGATTATTTAGGTTAATCCTACAGTATATTTATATCTTGCTGCTCCTTTAAATCCTAGTTTTGCTTTGCTTAGAGGCAATTCAAATTGTTCAATTTTCATAAATTTGACAAAAGCATTGTTAACCCTCTATAGTGCACTCAGTTACATACTTTAAAAATATAAATTTCAAGCCAATAGTGTTATTGGAATCCAGGACAAGACATTATTAGCTTTGCAACATTCAAAAAATATGGATATTTTGTAAAAAAAAAAAAAAAAAAAATAATAATAAAAAAAATAATAATAATGTCAATGTAATAATGTCAAGTTGGCAAGAAACGCCAACTTGCCCGAATATATTAAGAAAACATAAGATAACATAAGGGCTTCTATAAGAAATTCATGAAACATACTCTGAGAGTGAAATAGACACTTATTTTGGTACAACATAACCTTAGAGGCATTAATGCTTATACTGGCACTTACATTTTTTTGTTAAAAACCTAAATATCAAGGTTTATTAGGCTTATTAACTGTTTAACTTTACTTTTTAACTTTTCAATTAGCCTTTTATCTTTTTTTTTCTTGACTTGTTACCTTTTTTTTAACTTAATTTACAGTAGGTAATATTATTTTATTTAAGGGCTCATCTAATTGGTCAAATGCCAAAATAAGATTTGGGGGTGGACATTTGTAAGGAGTATGCAAGTGATGAAAAACTGTAATTTGCAGTATAAAGGGTTAACAGACATACTAAGAGAAGAGAAAAAATTATCCTGAGTAGTAACTCTTTTTTTTGCTACTTCAGCTATGTTTTAGCAATTTATTGCTAAAATTTCTTATTTTAATGTTAAGCAATATGTCAGTTCAAGAAATGTATTTAACAAGTTTTAAGGATTCTAGCAAGCAACTTGCTGCCTACCCTTTTGGCAGATCTATTTAAAAATGAGAAGATTTGATCATATTCAAGAAAATTTTACCTCTTAATACTGTTTTTCCAATGAGGGAAGTAAAAAAGAAACACATGCCTACACCATTATGGGTCGGGGGATTCCCATCTCCAATTCTGGCCTTTTATTTCTAAAATCAATCATTTGTCTTCTTAAGATCTGTGTTGATCAGTCACATTAAATCCCAACTTAAAACCTAAAGGCATTTGCAGCTGACATGACACCAAATGCCATGCATGATAGTTAGTACAGGAGGTTATGCAGAAAATAAAAGGATAAAATATAAGCAGCCTGGTTCCCCTTAGGTTCACTGTGAACTTCCTGAGAGGCAATGACATCGCCTTTCACATCAACCCACGCTTTAACGAGGGGGGCAAGCAGGTGGTGGTCCGGAACAGCAAAGTGGGTGATCGCTGGGGCCCAGAAGAGAGGGACCTAAAGGGACCCTTCCCTTTCGCTGCTGGGAGCCCTTTTGAGGTAAGAAAACCAGTAAGACCGACACAACGATTTAAGACCTAAGTGAAATACATTCATTTGTTCTCACTCCTCTAAAAGGGTTACAATAAAAAACAAAGACACTCCTGGCATCTCTTTAGCAGCCAGCAAATATTGCAAGAATTTAATACCTACTGTTGCAATAGGCAGTCAGTGCCACTGACTCTAGGTTACTTTCTCACAGTTAATGTCAGGCTAATGTTTGGAAAAGGTTGAGAAGTCGTTTGTGTAGCCGGATCCTAGATAAGAGTGCTGCTTTACTGCAGGGAGACTGTTGGAGGTCAGTGGGGTCTCCTATTGTCTAACATCAATGATTATTACATGTAACAACCAAAAGGCGTTTAATATGGGGAGCTGAGTCCAGCAGTCCTTCTGCCTGCATGAATAGAAGAAAGTGAGGCAGAACCTATAGGGGTCTGACTAAAGCAGTGACTGGGATTTTTCAAATGCTTGGCTCCTAACTCAGCAGCAGATTTCATAAAAATTGCCAGTTTAGCAAAAAATGTTGTGTGTTTTCCCAGATGAAGATCCTGTGCACTCCTGAGACCTTCAGGGTGGCGGTGAACAACATCCCGCAGTTTGAGTTCCGTCACCGCGTCAGAGAGCTAAACCAAATCGCCCGGATCAACATCCTGCATGACGTCGTCCTTACTTATGTCAATGTGGAGACGCTTCCCTAAGGAAGGAACGAAACTCCAACAGATTTTCTATTCAATTCAATTGACTGGAACAAATATATGCTCAATTATAATTTTCTTTCCTTTTTTTTTTTTTTTGCTTTGTTTTATTTCACACTTGAGAAACATTTTATTTAATCTAAGTTAAAAATATATATGAATGACTAAACCAGTCTGTATGAACTAATAGAATTATTGCTTTTCCAATTCAAAAATGAAAGGAATACCGTGATGTTATTCCACTTTTTTTTTCTTCTTTTTACAAAGTACTACAACATTAGTATTTATTTAAATGAAAACAAATGTTTTACTTAATAGGATTATCAGATCTTGTTGCTTTAAGCTTAGATATATTAAGCTATAATTTAATAGCACCAGCATAATGACAAACAGCTAAATAACTAAGCATTTTATCTTATATTTCTGATTCCACTAGTGTTCTTTTATGTATGTAATACATTGAAAAAATAAATCAGAATGTGCACATATTCAATATTGTTAACTGTTTTTCCATAATGCATTAACAATGAAATATTACATATATCTTCAATAAAGCTACCATAGACAGGATCTCCAGTCTATATGAAATGAAACATTTATGGCATCTTTAGTTTTCTGTCTGAAGAGCTTAGTTGTCTACGTTATTCTTTCAATTAAATAAAAAATCATAAAAAGCTTTATTGAGGTAAACATGCTGAACTAAGGTGTTCAATGCAGTTTTATTGTTCTTAAATAAAAATCTGATTAAGAAGTTGTTTTAATTTTTTAAGTTCATTTATTTATTGGCAACTTGAAACTGTACACAGATTAACACAAGATCTTTTGGAGAAAAAAATTTCAGAGCATATAAAACGGAAACCAAAGTATAAATAGGATATAGGTGAACGATAGTAAACAATAAAAAGTACAAACTGCATAGAGAACAGAACGATTCTATAATAAAGAACCTGTTGGCACAGACATGACCTAGAAATGTAGAAATGTTATCAAAATTATCATAAAATCATTACCATTCTGACCAAATTATTGTATCTCTGGAATCACAAAATAAAATAACACTTGTGTATATAAAAGGCCAGAGTATTAGAGTCTAGCAGAAACCCCATAATCTGCCTAATAAATATGTACATTGCCCTACAGTTTCCCTAACATTCTAGGGTGCTTTGCAAGTTGAAATGCTTTATATTTAAAAAAAAAAGTTAATCAACTTGTCCGAAGTCCATTTCAACTAAAAAACATTTCAGAGTCTCATTCTCATGTTCTCTAAAGGGGATTGTTAGCATGTGCATGAAATGTTTAGTGCAAATAGAAATGGTGCAGTTCACAGTGCTAAAGCTTCTTCGCATGTCAGAATATCAATCAGGTCTTAGTGTCCAACCTCCTCTCCACAGATTTCACAAGCAGCTCAGTGTACTGCTCCAGCAGCGCCAGAGCTTTGTCGCCATCGCAGTTTAACACTGGGGCTGCTGGGGGCCCCTCGCTCTTTGAGCTACTAAGAGGCAGCGAATGCAGCTCCGCCTTAACCCTGAACAGAGCCTCGGACAGGAAGCTCCTCATCTCCTCTTGGTCTTCACTCTGTGGTTGGTCGTCTTTAAGTAACTGTGGTAAAAACACAGAGTAAGCATTAGATGTAGAATAGGATGGATATGGATATGCAGCCTGGGGGATGAGATGAACTGAACCATATAAGATATCTAATTAAACCAGGCATGGTTAAAGACACTAACTTTTCTAAATTCATAGCAACAGTTTTCAAAGTGGCTGAAAAATACATACATCTTTTAAGTGGGAAAATGGTTTGGGAATGCCTCAACTTCACAAAAAGGTCTTTAATCTCTTTCTTTGTTGCCACTTTGGCTCCTCTTATCATGTCAACTTACAGAGACTAAACAGTCAAGACACAAAAAGGATCCCATGTATGAGGAGGAAATTATGTGAACTAAAATCTGAGAGACGAGAATGGAGAATGGAGTTAGACAAGAAGGCAAATGGTAACTCTGGAGGAGCTTCAGCGATTCATAACTTGGAGGAGAAGTCATTGTTGAAGGACAGCCACTAAAGTCCAGTATAAAGTTTGCCATGAGCTATGTACCTATGTACCTGGTGGAAAAAATCCTGCTAAGCATCACTGAAGAACCTGTCCCTGACAAGAAACATGCAGGGTGCCGTCTCAGCAGGCAATACTCCCTTCTAGTTTCTCTATCATATATATCCAACAAACAGTGAGCCTGGGCCTCATAAGTCCAAAACAGTATGCTTAGACTAAAACCAGAGACGGGCCGCTCTGAATTCTTTTTCTCAAATGAAAAAATGGATTAAAACCAGAAGGTTAAATCCACTGGGAGTTAGTCATGCTTGTAATGTAGCAGTGATATTAGCTGGTGTATTATAGCACTCTGAATAATCTTAGTTGGAGCCATGAAAGGGATCCATCTAATCCTATAAACAGGCAGTTATGGTCATTTAATCTGGATCAGGTGCCCCTAAACATTTCAGCCTGTGGACCTCAAAATAACACTAAACGCCTTTTTAACAACCATTAATCATTAATTTAACCTACATTTTACAAATGTGTGACTTTTTAAATTATTTGATATAAAACATATATATATTTGGTTATTTACTTGTATAATTTTAAATGAATATTTATCATTTAATACTAGATTTAAATGCTTAAATCAAGATTTAATGTACGTCTTATTATTCAAATAGCATCTAATCGTCTCATGGGACATTTGATGGTACAGTTATTTGCTTCAAATTGAAATATTTCATGCTATATTTCTATAATCTCAGTCCCTTTGATCATCCGTACACCTAATGGTCACTGTGAAAATTATTCCCCCCTTTGCTGCCTCAGTACTCCCCATATTTGACAGTGAAAGATCTTCTGGGATAGTTATTCCCCTAATTCATCATTTCAGAATTATCAAATGGCACTAGACTTTTGCAAATAATGTGTTAAAGTGAATTAGCCAAGGGCCAATCTCTCAGCTTCTATTGCCTAAAGTTGAAAATTAAAGTCCCTTCTTACTAATCACATGCAATTCAAACTCACTCACCGCAGTGTACAGAACAATCGTTTCCCTCAAACTCTGGTGAAGATCGTTGACGGCTTGCCTGCAAGTCTCAGGGGTGACTGAATGATCTACAGCGAGGAGATGGAGAGAACAGCCTTAACGTTTATCACAGGGTGCTGCAAATCAGAGCGTGCAGATACACAGATACAGTACAGCATGTTGACTGTGGTAGCCCCAAAGCAGAGAAAACATTATGTCTGAAGAGCATTAAAGAGAAGAAGTAGCTGTGGGAGCCGTGAAATGGAGAGAAAATTAATTTCACACCCTATATCTTCCAGCAGGACAGTTATCACTTGAAGTTGTTTTTCAGTTTTGCTGTTTTCTAAACAAAATGAAGCCGTGTTTGCCTTGGTTTACATCAGTGGAAAAATGCAGGAACATTTAGCTACAATCTTAATGTCTGTGTAAAAGTCTCTCAACTACTTGTATGTACTTTCTTTATATGGTTACAGAGAGAAGAACACACTCAGAGGGAAATTCTCTCAAGCAGGCATACAGATCTCATAATTTCAGATGGAAACAAAGTGTTATTAATAAAGTCAAAAAAGGCACATAGAGCCTGCAGTGATTAAGAGGTCAAACCTTTCTGTTGGCTCAAAATCCGGTCTTCTTCTGACACCAGAGGGCGCTCTTTAGCCGCTGCACCTCCCTCCGTAACACTGGGAATACATTGTGAAAATGTCTTAATTACAGATAAAATGTTGTTCCTATAGATAGAAAAGCCTAAAAGTAGTTTGAAAAAGGATTTTTCTCCCACATTGTGTTACTTTACAGCCACAAACTTCATTATATTTTATTGGGACTATATGTGACAGACCATCAATGTAGAACATAACAGTAAAATAGAAGGAAATTGTAGTTTTCATCCAGCATCAAATCAAATATTAATCTTAAAACTGTTTAATTGATCTTCATTTCTACCGTTTTTTTCTGATCCCACAAAATAAAATCCATGGCATCCAGTTGATGAAAAAGTTGAATAATCATTGAATAGAGTTGTGCAGTTTTTAGTTTTTAGTGTTTTTAGTGTTAGCACAAAACTAGCTGCTCCATGAAGGTTTATCAGGAGAAATTAGCTGAAAAAAACAGTATACTAGACAGCAAAGATTAAGACGATTTAGGCAGTCAACTTCATTTTTATTTTATTTGGTGGCATTGGATGCATTTGTTGATATTTACAACAGATATAGAAAGAGAGATGTGCAAAACCTCCAAATGCCAGAAATTAAGCTCCGGGTGGACTCTGCACATGAGGAGCCTGCTCCACAGTGGCACTAAGTTTAAGGCTATATTTTTTATTTATTTTGCACAGCAAAAAGAGGAAAAGATAATCTGGGAATACCTCTCTTTTTTTGGCCTAGATGGAAAAACATTATTTTTGTTTAGCTGGGAAAAAGAGGCTAGTCAGACTAACTGGGAAGATGGATAGAGTTAAACACAGGATTTGTTCTATAAGAGAATCTGGTTCAAATCAAGGTATACAAACTTTTTTAGATTCTGGAACACCCTTTTTAGGGGTTTTTGCATGTCAAAGTTATGCACTAGCCTGCTTGTCACGATCAAAGGAAATCACCGAACACACACATACGTTTTCAGCTGTAATATAACACAATGTGAAAAAGTTAAAGAAGACAATGTATACCAAAGGATGTGCTTCTCTAAAATCTACTTTACCTCTCAGGAAAGGTGTCTCTCTTCTGCTTCACTGGCAGTGAACTCGGCAGCGAAGGATCCAGACTTAAAGAGAGCTGTCTGCATCGTGCTGAAAACAGGAGAGATGTGGACATCTTGTTAGATGTGGAGCTCCTCAGCCATGTATCAGTGTGTAGCTACGGGTGTGTGCTTCTCTCATTGTCTGACCTTGTGTTTTATCAGGGGACGGTGAAACAGCACAGCAAATATCCGCAGTAGAGACAGAAGCCCTGAGACCAGGGATCGGCTTCACGTCGAGGATCAGGCTGCGCCGAGGGCTCAGAGGCTGCTTCGGGAGCGGGATACGGGAAGGCTGAGTGCTCTGGGTCAAAAGGGCTCCTGTTTGACGATGCTGAGCCAGAGAGGAGCTTTTTGAGAGAGCTCTCAACGAAAGGGACGATTCAGATGAGTCGGAGGATGGGAGATGGATGCCAGATGATGAAGAGAGGCGGCTAGACTCCACCTCCAGCTCCCAGGGTGACCTCCTACCTTCAGGGAAGCAGGGGGAGCAGGACTGTAGACTGTCTCTTGGAGAGGTGGATCGGCTGCGTTTGGCCTTTGAGCTAGCTGTGGGGTTCATGTAGGAGTGCTGGGGCTTTAGTTTGGGGCTCTCCCAGGCTGGGGGTGAGGGTGGGGTGTGTGGTGATCCAGAGGAGGGGGAAGAGAAGTAAAAGGAAGGATTGGTGGCGCTATTAGTCAAAAGCAGCTGCTGAGGTCTCTTCTGCAGCTCCCTTTGGACACCAGAGGGCACAGGGGAGCGTGCAGCTGGAAAAGAAAAGAAGATAATATGATATAGTACATTTATATAATTTTTCTACATATAAAAAATAATCTCAATTTTTTTTATATGGATGTGAATTTTTAAACTGAAATATTAAGCATGAGTAAGGTGAATTCTGCTAAAAGATCAATCAGAAAAACGGTACCAAACATGGCAAACTGGTTTAAACATTAAACGTCACAGCACAGTAACAGGATCGGATAAAGAAGAAAAACTTACAGGATGCATATAGGTTCTGTGCAGAGAACGACTTCTGGAAAGCAGCTGGTATATCCAGCATGGAGGAGGTCGCTGATGTGGGGGTCGACTTCCTCCATTCAGGGGACCACGAGGTCTTTTTCTTCAGTGGACGAAGTTTAGGAGGGGGACTTTTCTCAGGAGGCCTGCTGAGATCACACACGGCATTAATGAAAATAAATAAAATGCTTGTACAAACCCTACATTTGATTGTAAAGTTTCCAGGTGAGGCTCTTAATATTCCTGTCTCGGTTTGAAACATTTCTCTGACTAGAAGTCTGAGTTTTCTCATTACCTCTCGGGTCTGATGGGGGAAGCGGGGATCCTGTCTTCCATCTCTCTCCTCTCGTCCATCAAGGGACGAACTTTCGACACCAGAGGCTCAGCAGATTTGTGTCCTTGTCCTGATTCAGTCACTCTGGCAAATGGAGCTACTGGTCTACATAGAAGGGAAGTGATTGCAGAGTGACAAAAAAGAAGAAAACATTTATTTTCCTTGTGCGTGTTTTGGTAGGAAGGCTGACTTTATCAAGCTGTGGCACAGGAATAGAATTAAAGCCACACCGTGGAAATCAGTGAGATTTAGAGCTTTGCACAGAGGTTCTTCTTATGCAACTTCTAGAAATATTAGTTTCTCTTTTACTGACAGTCCAAGATAAATGAATACTTTAAATTCCTCTATTTAATAACCAGGTTTAAAAAGTTTACTCTTAAACAAGTTCCCTGTTGCATTTCTGCATTTGCACTCAGTGGCTCCCCTCAGTCTAACCCCTCACACACGTAAAAATCCTCTTCTGTATTTTGATTGGTGGAGCAACTTTAACGAAGGATCAGCCAGTGATCACATCAACCTTTCAATTTTATCATGTTACCAACTTACATCTGCAGTGTAATTTATATGGAATTTACAACATAGAGATGCAGAAAGTTTTAAGCCTAACTCCAAAATGGAAGGAAAAGGATATATGTTTTTTCTTTTTATTAACAAATGGACATCTAAAAGTTGTGGTGTGTCTTTTCATCATCTTTTATTTTTAGATAAATTCCAAACTAGAACATAATTAAGCAGTTCTGTGAAAGCCTCAAAGTTAGGTAGAGAACACAGGAAAAATAAGTTTCAAACATTTGGGGTTTTTCATTTTTCTGGCATAAATGCACTGCAGATAACTCTAAACAGATCATCCCTACAGTGAAGCACGGTGGTGGCGTCATGCTGCAGGGACATGGAATCCTTTAAGTGCCAATCAAGGTTTATAGAGTTTTGAAATGTTGATTAGTTTTTCTTTTTATTTAGTTTGACTTCTGATTATCATCCCTATTTTAGTTTTAATTCCTTTTTTAGTATTTGTCAGAAAACGTAGTTTTTTTATGCTTAGTTTCAAATAGGTTTTTAGTAGTCTTAGATTATTATTATTATTATTATTATTATTATTATTATTATTATTATTTTATGCAACATGACTCACAAAAAAATAAGATATAAAATCCCATTAGAAACAGAATGACCTAACTGCAGTACCTGCCATCTGCTGGCGTAAAAAAAGCAACTAGAAACTAAACCTCATATGAACGCATTGAAATAAATAAACTAATATTCTTATTAAATTCAGTTGGTTTTAAAGGTATAGTGTAGGATTTTTGTGAATTTCTGAAAAGCATTGCCCTCTCCACTTAAAAAAAAATGCACATGAACAACCCAACCCATTACACCTATTGAATGCGTGTGAGAGCATGCAAAAACCCATTCCTCCTGATGCACGCTCTGTTTACATCGCTGATACAAGCTTACTTTACAAAAGACTGGTAAGTCAAAATGGAGACGAGCACGTAGGACGGCCTTATTACAAGAATGATTGACAGTTAGGAGGACCACTTATTTTGATGACCCCCCCTTAAAAAGACAATCCTCCACTATTCCTTTAATTTGTTTTGTAAACTCCTATTACAGTTTCAGCTTTTGTTTAGGTCTAGATTTTGTTTTGTTTTTCAGTCAACCAAAATGCTTTTTGATTCTAGTTTTTGTTATTTCCTTAGTTTAAGTGAACAATAATAAAACTTGGTGCTGAAGGGAACATGGATTTAGCTTAGATGCAGAACAACCCTGCAAGAAGGTCTACCAGAAGCTGCAAAAGACTTGAATCCGGGGCTGAAATCTCCATTTCAGCAGAATATTAAGGTGTTAGAATTATTCAGTCGAGATCTAAATACTAATTAGAATCTGAACGAGATTTAAAAGTTGCTGTTCACAGATATACACTGAATGGATTGAAATCTTGTAAAAAAAGAAAAGAAAAAGCAAGGTGAAATGACACATGAACTGTAACAACAGAAAATATTGATACTACAAAATGCTGACAGAATCATCCTGCAAATCAATGCCACACTTTCCTCTCTGAAAAACTGTTTCTATTTCCTTCCTATCTACTGTTAATCACTACCTGGTGCTGTTTTGTCAGATTAAATTTCAATTTAAACACATCAAACGTGTTCCTGTGCTGTACCGAAATAACTATAATCAGTATCTTCTACTTTATCAAAATAAAAAAAGCAGTTCATTTCTAACTTGAGACAACCATCCAACTGACAGCTTAGATAGATCACAAAGGTACGTAGGTTGTTTAACAGAGCAGCCTGTCAGCACCCAGAAGGGTTTATAATCATAGCCAAGGGTCCAGATGAGCCCGAGGCGGTCAGCAGTACCTGTTATTATGTCCTTTGGCCAGGAAGCGTGAAGACATGCTGAGTCTGGGGACTCTGCTCTGCTCAGCTGCAGGAAGAAATAAAAAAGGACAGAAAGATGGAGACAGAAACAGAAAGTGGAGGTGAGACCAGGAGAGGAATCAATGTCTGTGTCTGGATGGTTGGTCCGTAAAAGAGATTAAGATATTGTGAGAGAAAAAAAAAAAGTCCTGAGGCTGAGCCCAAACTGGGATCTATTGTTCAATACGTTAAACGGCCTTAGACGTAAAAACCGATGATCTACACCAGGATTTGTTTCAACAGACACTCTTCTGTCTCAAAGCAAAAGCATTAAAGGGAAATCTACCAATGATGTGTGTGGGTCTGATCAGCCCTACCTGAGCTGCAGCCTTCTGACAGGGTCTCAAAGTTCTGCCTCAGGAAGTCCTCCTGATTGGGCTCATAAAAGTCATTCACTGTCCTCAGAGCTTCATCCATACTGGTTACTAACACAGCCTTCCTCTCAGACTCCTCCTCCTCTTCTTCATTCTCCTCATCAGAGCGGCCCTGACTCACACAGTCCACATCTGCAGGAAATGAAAGCAGAGTGAGGAACTGATACAAGTGGAAGCACAGATCAGATGAAGGGAAACTATTTACTTCATGACTTTGCCCCAGCGTTAGCATTTGGTATTTAGATAAAGTACAGCTCTAAAGACGCTAAATGTCACATTCAGCTTTTAAATCCCACATTGGGCACATTTTGTCATTTTACTACAACAAAAATATGTATTTTAGTTCAATGGAACCAAACTGACCTACACAAATCACCAAATGAATATTCCCAATCCCTGCTGAGTAAAAACTTCCCCACAGCATGATGCTGCCACCACCATGTTTCAGTGTGAGGACAGTGCAGTTTTTTTTTTTTTTGTTCATAGGCTGGACAGTTGAAGGGGTATGAATGTTGACCTTACCATCCAGGGTGCGATCCGGGCTGGATTCCCTGCTGTCATAGCCCAGCGAGCAGGCACTGTCTGGGCTGCGGCTGTCCTGGCTCTCAGAGCGGATCAATTGTCTCTGTGGGGTACGGGGCTGTTCTGCCACCATGTAATCACTGCAGGACATACATGGGCATGATAAATAAAATAATGGAGAAACACTTAACATCTAAAATGAATAAATGGGCATTTCTTCCCCTTGGTAGAAAAAAAGTGGCATTGTTGATGAGATACCTCTCTGCTGGACTTGTGTCTTCTTCGTTTTCCTCAGGGAAGGTCACTGCTCTATCCATCTCCTTGGCACACTTGGACGAGGCTGAGGGCAGCCATGCTAGACGCCTTCTGGATCTCTCCTCCACATGATAATCCTGAAACAGCCTCACAGGTTTGAAAAACATCCATCTAAATCCAAACTGCTTGTTCTTCAGGTACAAAATTCCACTTACCTCAAGATCTTGAAAGCTGGAGCTGCTCTGTCTGTCTCTTTCCTGTGTGGGGTAGTTGGTGCTTTTCTTTTGAGCAAATGTCTCAAGCTGCCTCAAGTCCAGCATGGATTTTACCATCAGTTCCAGTGAGCCAATACGACGAGACCAGCGTCGCCGTGGACGTTTAGTGGGATCAGGAATGATTTGGGGGACAGCTCCTTCCTACAGAGGAAGCAGGAAAGAACAGCTGACGTGCAAAGCTTTAGATTTATTTTATTTATTTATTTAATCAGGACAGAGCACATTAATGAACAATCTTATACTTCTGTACAGATTGTAAATGAGCCAGATTATAGCATAGTTGCTAATTTACATCTGTCGTCCTGAGGCAGGAAGACAAACAACACAAGATTGCATAAGACAATATCAGTCAAAACACATAGACATACGTTCAGATTACACCAGCTTCTTCAAACTGTGTTGTGTTACAAAAACAGACTTAAGATATTTAATCTGTTTTGTTTTCTTTTAGATAAACTATCACAAAGCAGAGTATGATCATGAAGAGGAACTATCCTACAGCATCAGCTCTCCTGTATTTAGATCCCTCTGCTGGATAAAAAAACAATCCCCACAGCATGATGCTGCCATTGCCATGCTCCCAGTTTGGATGCTGTGAAGCAGGGTAATGCATCATGTTTATTGGGAAAGTTTGGTTCTTAGCTGACCAGAATACATTTTTTTTTATGTTTGATGTGGCAAACAATATTTTTTGCAGCTTTTCCAGCAGTAATCCTCAGTCTTCACTTAAGGTAATATCTGTGGTATGTAAACTCCTAGCTGTGCCAGGGGCAGCTTCTCCACAGCATGACCCTCTGAACTCAATAGCTTTCATTGGATGATTTTTCAAGGATATTCTGTTGCATCAAATCCTGGTAAAGTACTCAGATGTTTGTGGCTTTGATTTGAGTAATTGTGAGATTTAGTTTTCAGTTTAATTAGAATGAACTTTGTTACCTTTCTGTGCTCCCACTGCTGTTCTCCTTCTGAACCTAATATTGGATGAAAGAAAATCATAATTAGGTTGAAAAATCATGTCATAATGACTTCTCTTCTGCAAGGCTGTTGTATTTTCTCACTCTCTACATGGGAATATACAGGTGCTGGTCATAAAATTAGAATATCATGAAAAAGTAGATTGATTTAAGTAATTCCATTTAAAAAGTGAAACTTGTATATTATATTCATACATTACATACAAACTCATATATTTCAGATGTTTATTTTGTTTAATTTTGATGATTACAAATGACAACAAATGAAAATCTCAAATTCATCATATCAGAAAATTAGAATATTACTGAAGACCAATAAAAACAAAGGATTTATAGAAATGTTGGCCAACTGAAAAGTATGAACATGAAAAGTATGAGCATGTACAGCACTCAGTATTTAGTTGGGCCTCCTTTGGCCTGTATTACTGCAGCAATGCGGCGTGGCATGGAGTCGATCAGTCTGTGGCACTGCTCAGGTGTTATGATAGCCCAGGTTGCTCTAATAGTGGCTTTTAGCTCTTCTGAATTGTTGGGTCTGGTGTATTGCATCTTCTTCTTCACAATACCCCATAGATTTTCTATGGGGTTAAGGTCAGGAGAGTTTGCTGGCCAATTAAGAACAGGGATACCATGGTCCTTCAACCAGGTACTGGTAGCTTTGGCACTGTGTGCAGGTGCCAAGTCCTGTTGGAAAATGAAATCTGCATCTCCAAAAAGTTGGTCAGCTGCAGGAAGCATGAAATGCTCTAAAACTTCCTGGTATGTGGCTGCGTTGACCCTGGACCTCAGAAAACACAATGGACCAACACCAGCAGATGACATGGCACCCCAAACCATCACTGACTGTGGAAACTTTACACTGGACTTCAAGCAACGTGGATGAAGTGCCTCTCTTCTTTTCCTCCAGACTCTGGGACCTTGATTTCCAAAGGAAATGCAAAATTTACTTTCATCAGAGAACATGACTTTGGACCACTCACCAGCAGTCCAGTCCTGTTTCTCTTTAGCCCAGGCAAGCCGCTTCTGACGCTGTCTGTGGTTCAAGAGTGGCTTGACACAAGGAATGCGACAGCAGAAACCCATGTCTTTCATACGTCTGTGTGTGGTGGTTCTTGAAGCACTCACTCCAGCTGCAGTCCACTCTTTGTGAATCTCCCCCACATTTTTGAATGGGTTTTGTTTCACAATCCTCTCCAGGGTGCGGTTATCTCTCTTGCTTGTACACTTTTTTCGACCACATCTTTTCCTTCCCTTCGCCTCTCTATTAATGTGCTTGGACACTGAGCTCTGTGAACAGCCAGCCTCTTTAGCGATGACCTTTTGTGTCTTGCCCTCCTTGTGCAAGGTGTCGATGGTCGTCTTTTGGACAACTGTCAAGTCAGCAGTCTTCCCCATGATTGTGTAGCCTATAGAACTAGACTGAAAGACCATTTAAAGGCTTTTGCAGGTGGTTTGAGTTAATTAGCTGATTAGAGTGTGGCACCAGGGGCCATCAATTTTGAACCTTTTCACAATATTCTAATTTTCTGATATGATGAATTTGAGATTTTCATTTGTTGTCATTTGTAATCATCAAAATTAAACAAAATAAACATCTGAAATATATGAGTTTGTATGTAATGTATGAATATAATATACAAGTTTCACTTTTTAAATGGAATTACTGAAATCAATCTACTTTTTCATGATATTCTAATTTTATGACCAGCACCTGTAATGATTAGCCGGTAATGTCGATTGGGTCATTCTTTTATTGACTAATCCATTAATTAAAGTTGGTCTTTTCATTTTTAGACTACCTGTGTCCTCCTCTCTCTGGCAGCTGTTAGAGGAGCTGCTGCTTTTGCTGTCATCCAGATTATTAGTGTCTTCATTCTCCTCTGCGTCCTCCACCTCGTTCTCCTGATCGCTGTCAGAGGAGAGACCAACCAGAGCGGGAGCGCTGTACACCTCCCGCCTACAGTACAGCAGCAAATGAGTTATAATAATGGGATTGAGTAGAGCATCACTATGAAGATGACGGATCTCATTATAAAGTCACTGGTTCTGTTTTAGGTGTTTGAGATAAATATGTTTCATCACCTGATTCCACAGCGAGGTGAGTTTGGGTGTTTCTCCAGCTGGTAAAGCCTCTCCTTCATGGCAATGGTTAGCTCTGGAGCAAGGCGCCAGACAAAGACACAGCTTGGGGAGAAAAGCACACAAGCATTAAATATTCAGGTTTTCATCTCGTTTTAACTACTGAGGAAACCATCTGCAAACACATTTTCAGAGTCATTTCCGCTAATGCAGAAGCTGGAAATTGATTCCACATGATGGCTGCTACGCCGCAGGATTTCTGATCTATTTTATTATCCCTTACGGTTAATGATTCAAATATAAAGATCTTACGCAGTTAATGTGGAAATCCAGTTAATAATGTGTTTGTTTAAAAAAAAGATGAAAAATCTGCAGACATAGCCTAAACTGATCCAAAACTTGATGATCGTGACATTATCAAAGCTGCGATGGCAAACACAGCTATCAGACATACTCCATCTATACTGAGTGACGATGAAATTAGTAACACAGTCGTTGGGACATATGAGGGCTGCAGCTGAACACACAAATACACTGAAAATGACTTATAAGTCTAGAGCAAAGGTCTGCAAGCTTTCAAACCCAAATAGCCATTTTAGCAAAATAAAAGTCCTTTAGAGCCAGAAATCCTACATCACCTTTAAATAAAACACATCTGTTGGCATTGGATTAAAGAATAAACAGTTTATTTGTATTTTTAGTGTTGAATCCTTTAACACCAAGTGTGTCATGTTTAACCTTTTGAGGCCTCTACATCATCAGATTGATTTTATTTATTTTTATTTTTATTTAACCTGTATTTTACCAGGAAGTCCCTTGAGATAAAATCTCTTTTTCGAGGGATATTTTTATTGTTGAAAAACTGCAGGTATACACTGAGACACAAGAGGTAAGCTAAAAAAAAATACATAAGAAATTTAAAAAATCAATATTTAAAGATATGTAAGAGATAACTTCTCTAATTTAACTAATTCAAAAATTTAAAAGAAAATAATAATTATGTCAATCATTTAATGGTTCAGGCTTTACAGGGTTAATAAATTGACAAAACATAAACACTTCATATAGGTAGCATGGATTTTCCTCTATGGGATATTATTCTTATGTAAAAAAAAAAAAGACATAAACACATAGTTTTACATCTAATAACAAGAAATATAGATCTAAAACATATTTCTTGTTCTTTAAAGTCCCTCTATTGTCAAAATAAATATCAATTTAAGAGTCACTTATAAAAATCTACAAAAGCCTTGAAGAATTGTATTTGTTACTATACTACATTTAAAACCATTAGTTGGTTCTTTATCTTTTTTAGCCCCTGTTTAGAACTAGTGTAGAGGGTCCAAAGAGCCACTTGTTGCTCACCCCTTGGTCTTATGCAAAACAACTAATGAGGATTAGGCAGTTTGCCAGTTTATCAAACACTCTTGCTAAAATAAACTAGCTAATAGAAAATAAAAACAAATTAAACGGATGCTTTTTTTCTTTTTCTTTCTGTAGTTGGGAAAAAAATGTGACGATATAATGAAATATTAAAGATATCAAACTATATAGGAGCAGCTGCAACCCAAGGATAATTATTTATAACTAAAACTAATAAAATAACGAAAACTGGAATTAAAAAACATTTTAGTTGACTAAAATAGTAATAAAAACTGGATTTGTCAACAAAACAAAAAAAAAAACATTTTTTATCTTTGATTTTTTTTATTTTTTTTTTTATTTTTACAGTTTTTAAAATGAAAACTAACTGAAGTTAATGAGAATATGCTCAGTTTTCAGTTTTTTTCTTTATCATAGTGCATTAATATGATGTGTATCTTCTGGTTGCTGTTTTTTTATGTTTTGTTTCGCACATTATGCCATCAGATGGCAGGTGCAGCAGTCAGGTCATTTGTGTTGCAGCAGTGGCCTGTTTTGTTTATATTTGTTTTTTTTTAGAACTAAACTGAACCTAAGCATAAAAAACCTAAGCATAAACAAACTAAAACAAACTAGCTAAGAAATACAAAAACACAAATTAAAATAGAATTTAAAATCAGAAGTCAAAACTAAATGAAAATAAAAACTAATGAACATTTCAAAGCCATTCAAACCTTTCTGAAAGCCAACTGCTATTTTTCTAATGAGGAGAAACAGCATGGCCAACTGCTAAAAAAGGCAACCAGATGCTAGAGCAAGGACATCTGGTGGTAGGAGATGGGTTCTGGTTGGGTTCTACACCACAGCAAACATGATCAGATGTCTGCCTATGTTAGAGAGAAGGATGGCTTTTATCAGCTGAACATGCAGCATTGACACCGACATGAAAGGCAAGGCTTTGCTTGTTTTTGAATGTTTGAGCTCTAGTTCAACTCAACAAAATAATGGTCTAATTAAACCTAATTTCTTCCTTCTTTTATTACCTTACTTTAAGTACGGCCAAAACCAGAAATAGACATGTGTTGGATAATATTTTACTCATCATCTGACATTAAATCAAATTCCTTCTTAAGGTCTTTGCATTAATGGGTCAGAAGTTTACATACATGCTTCTGACTATTTACAGTGTTTAAGTTAATTGGAGGTAAATCTTATTGTGTTTTTAAAGGAAAAATATGAGATCCATAGACTTTCTGTGTGAAATAGTAGAAAAGTCAAAAAATATCAGACAGGTTAGGATGTAGGATTGTAGAATCTGCTGGTTTTGTTTATCTGGGTGCAAATTAAAAAATCTAAAGTGTCACCTTATTTTGCTTAATTAAATTAACCCAGCACAACATTTTTATCCTGACAGACTGAAGACAGCGGCTTATTTGTCAGCTAGTAAAATACATTGTATTACAGCCGTGTTAACGTGTCACAAATGGCCACTATTTATAATAAGTGTCAACAGGTCTGAGTGTGAGGAGGAGTAAAGACAGCTCTCTCACCTGTCTCCTGATACAGAGATTAAATGCTTGCAGTCGTTGGTGAATTTCATCCCGGTGATAATTTCTGAAAAAAAAAAAAGCATTGCATGGTATCATGTGAGCTGATTGATCTGGTTTCTTATAAAAAGTAATAGCAGCTCATCCAGGTTATCTTGACACTGGTCTCGTTACCTGAGTGTCCAAACATCGTGGCAACACACTCCCCCGTGTAGAAGTCAAAGATGTTGATGTTTTTATCGGAGCAGCTGGTGGCCACATATTGCCCTGATGGATCGATCTGAACCTTTTGGAACAAATAAAGAGAGCTTCTTTTTCCCCCTGAAGTGTCTCTATATATAAACAGTCTCTGCAGAGTGAAGTGAAAGAGGAAATGTTACCCTGAGGAGACTGCCATCTCCACTCAGCGATCCTTTGTACAGCTTTCTCTGTTTGCCACTGCTGATGTTGAAAATCCTGCATTCAGAACAAGAACAAGCCTCAGGATGTTTCCAACTGCCAACCATGTGAGCCTTAAGAAAACAAACACACACAGAGCCCTCACACACTCACCTGATGCAGCGGTCCTGACAGCCAACAGCTGCGTACTTGCAGGTGGCGTCTACACTCATGTCGTAAAGTGTGGTTTTCCTCACCATGTGGTGAGAGCGCCTGAACTCTGTTCCTTTGTCAGTCTGCAGCATGAAAAGTCAAAGTTAGACAAAAACCTGCACAGTTTCTCTTCAAAGACAAAAAGAAGTCCGCCACTGTAACTAAACTCTGGGTCACTTCTGTATACTGGTTCACCATGAAACCCAGCAGACAAGACAATCATGTCTTAGGTTTATGATAGATACTGTAACTTATGAAACTAAATGAAGCTAAAGCAGATTTACTCAGCATGTCCTCATTTTACAGTGCCTTACAAAAGCATTTACAGCCAGTAAATGCACCAGGTAGGTCAGAGAGAAATTAGTTTAGAAGCTCAAAGAAGAGGGGAGGTTATAAAACATTATTTGTGCTTTGGTCATCTCACAAAGCAATGCTCTATATACCACCCTTACGTTGCAAACCCATAAAGAAATGAGTGTTTAGGTAAAACATCAGGCCAAAGAAGGGGAGCATTTATCACCCAGAGAACCGCGGCAACTCTGGATGAGCTGCAGAGCTCAATCGGGAGAATCTAATTTTCTCATTGAAGGAAAGTTATCCTGTTTTCAGTTCAACACAAGACATGCAAGGAGGCAGCAAGTATGTTGAATAAACTCTAATGTAACCTTTAGCCTGCATGCAAATGTAGGCTAAAGATGCCACACAGCGCAAATGTGCATATCCACCTGATCAAACCATTCCATGGTGGCAGCATTGTTAGCAGATCTGTATAAGTTTTAAACAGTTGGGTCCTGTTCAACTACATTGTGTTTTGATACTGTTGCAATGCAGGGTGTAATTACTCACTAGAAAAGATCAGTTGATTTGTTTGTTTTTACATAAATGAAGGTTCCTGTGATTTTTTTTTCTTAAACATTGTTTCATTTGTGCAATCATAATTACGTTCAAGGCAAGTTTATACTGAGTAAACACTTTCCCCATCAGCTATGCGCATCTGTGAGAGCTTGTTTCATGTCCCACAGTTCTTGTCAGATAAAAGGTAATAACAGAATGCTGCGCAGGCGTTACCTTGTGTGCCGTGCGGAAGTAGATGCTCTTGTCTGCTCCACAGCTGATCATCCTCACCTTGTTGTCGTTGGCTAGAGATCAAAGTACAATTACTTACTGCTGTATTTATTGGAAGGTCTTTATGATGGGAGGATTAATTAAATGAGTAAGCTCTTATCAAAGTGCTGTTATTGGTGTTTATCGTGATTTACAACCTGTGGAAAAATCTAGAGATAGCCCACCATCAGCGAAATTACAGACTAAACAATAAACTAATGCACCTATGTTAGGTGCATGTGAGAGGATGACTCTGATCCAGTATACAAATAAACCCTCAAATTAACATTGCATCTACATTTCATTAATTATGTGAAGAAGAGCTGCTCTGAGCTCACAAAAGTGGGACTTTGTGTCTGACTGTGAGGTGATAACTAGAGGGATTACGACAAGATTAGCCATCAAGATGTCTGCTGCTTCTCAAGTGGCTCACAGGCAAATCGGACGGCTGTTATGGATGAGGAGTGCTCGTCGAGCGTCTGCACCAGGCTGTAGCTATCATCTGCATCCAAGACGTGGATCAGACGGTCCCTGCTGGCTGTGGCAAGCAGCTTCAGACCTGACAGTAAGGAAACAGCGTTAATACCCTGCCAGTTCACATTCATCTTAAAACCGTCCATCATTATATTCATATAGGCCCACCTGTTTCAGGTTTACTGTACTCCAGACAGAGGATCTCAGCATCATGGGCTTCCACTTTAAGAATCTCCTCCATGTTGGTAAGGTCGTGAACCCTGCTCAACAGTAATATTACGTTACAGAGAGAAGGTCACTGAAGTCTATCAGCTGGCTGCTGCTTTTTCTCCCATAAATCACCTCAGCATCCCGTTGCGGTCTCCAGATGCCAGGTGTTTGCCGTCTGGACTGATACAGATGGTCCTGATGCCCGCTCTGGTTTCTGCTGTCTGCACGTCTCCTGATTTGTCTGCGTTCACGTTACATTCTGGATCCAGCAGGGCGCCTGTGTTTCCATCAATGTAGATGTTCTTCAACAGATCCTGCAAAATAATGAGTACAGATCCAGTAAATCATGGCAAAACTCAAAGTTTCAATACATTAAAAGAAGAGCAAGAGACATATAGGTTAAACTTGCATGGCTGAGGATGTTCTGCGAGTTAAGAGGAGGTTGTGTGGAGTCCTCCATCTTCCATATTCTTATGGTGCTGTCAGCTGAACAAGTGAAGAATGTACTGGATGACAGTCCTGCAGCCGGCCCTCCAGGAACATCCGGGAACACCTGAGAGGATAACAAGACCGGGGGATATTCATCTAAATCTGCAGGATGCTGTCACAGCAAACACTTTCAAGGCTCACCATTTACCATTTATGTGAAACAATCAGTGTTATTTTTATTTTTTGCAGTGATGTAGACAGAAACACAGTAATAACAAGGCCATAGTTTTGTACCCTCAGTCATATAATGGAGGGTAATTTCCCACATATGATGTCAGCAAGGAATTACAGAAGAAGGAAAATGAAACTCTACCTTTGCAGAGAATGTATTAAGAAAGTCCTGTCGGTAAGGAAGTTAAATCATAACCTGCTGTTTTTGCTAGAAAAGCAGCGTTTGTGCATAGATCAATGAACCCAGTTGGACTCTAATGAATAATCTGGTGACTATTTAGGTTTCCGGATTAAAGCAGGAAGTGTAAAGGTGGCTGAATATAAACGCATGGTTTATTTATGGTGATTTGGTTTATCATGTCAAAGCAGAAGACGATAGCTTGATGTTTGTGGTTTTAATGTAATATAATGTGAATGAAATGCAGGAAGTTATCTGATCCTTCGATATCCATCAATAACCTAATCATTCACTCTACTGCTTTGTTGTTAAGGGGCAACTGAGAGGTCATTATTGGGACTCAATTCTGCATGTGCATGTGTTTACCTGTAAGTCCCAAACGGAGGCAGCGTGGAAAAGGGCAGAGTTCACTTTCCCAACCCGGTGCACCTCTCTAACATCCCACACATACAAACTGTGGTCGTTGTACACACAGCTGAGCCAGCGGCTCACAGGATCATAGGTGACCGCAGTGACATCAGGGTATCGGCCTTCTATTTTGATGTTAAATAAATGGCTACAAGAGGAAAAGGTGAAATAAAGGGTTAGAAAAACAGCTGTGAAATAAATAGAGTAAATTTCAGCTTAGTGTTTTTACAAAACAAACAAGAGCCATTTGGGAGACTTTCAGACTGTGAATTGATGCCATTTGAGACAGGAAGCTCTATAAATAGAGCCTTCGATCTGGCCTTGCATTGGATGGCTGCCATGAAAGTGCTCAGTTACCCCTGAGCTGCTCCTCACCTGGCCTCGGTGACGGCTGAGACGTCAGCTCCAAGCGGGTGAGGCCGCGGCAGCGTGCAGACAAAGTGGAGGTCGGAGGGGCTGAAGGCTCGTACCGTTCCATCAGCGCAGCCACAGAAGATCATGTCTTCAGACAGAGACAGGGACTGAGCCATGCCAGTCTGAGAGAGACACATGGAGAGAAAGTGAATATACAGTGTTCTGAACAGCCATAATAAGTCTGCTGAATGCATAAATACAAATATAGAGAAACTAATGAAATATATAGGTTGCAAATGCTGCATTTGAAATGCCTTTGAAACTATTGTTTGACTTAAATGTCTTGTTCAGACCTTTTAACCAGCTATAAAATGTAAAACCTTTATTTAAAACTTTTTGCAGTTTTTTTTACCTCTTTTTTTCCAGAAGCTTAGCCAAAGGCATAATAGCTTACTAACATCTTTTATCTAATTCATCACTTTTTAAGAAAGTGATAGAGGACTACATTAATCATTTCCATCAATCATTATAATGAAAATGTGGGGTAATTTATCTAAACACAGAAGTATTACATTATGAGGTTAATAAACAATGTCCTTACTAATTAATTTGCTTAAATGTATAATACATTTTTTACTCTAATTTAAGAACCACCCATCACAAAAAACTACTCATGCTCTAATCCATGTATTTGAAAGCCTGCAGTATTACACATAACCATTAATCATAGTAATTCAATTTTTTCACCAGTTTTTGATTTAAAAAAATTTGTTTTAATTTGTCTTTCATGATATTTCCACCTCAGACATAGGCAGCCATCTTTGACTCTACTAAAATTGATGTTTGCCACTTGTTGTGCTTAGATCCGCTGCAACAGAGCGAAAAACAAGTAAATGATAAATGAGTTTGATCAATTTTCTCCATCACTGAGACTGTGCTGAAGAAGAAATTACCTCAGACATGTATCAGAGATGATACATTTGCTATTACCGGATCACTCATTTAGAGTATTAATGGCTGAAAAGCAATCAAAAGTATAATAATGATTGGATGACTAAGATGCAGAGTGCTTGGACCAGACCCAACAGCTCCAACAAGTCACATTTAGCTGCATCATGTAGAAAAGCCGTGCAGGTTTTTTAGTTTTTGGACAGGAAACTGAGTCATTGGGTCAAAACAAGGCTGATGTGACTCACCTTCAGATCCACCCACTTGTCCAGCATTCTCTTGCTGTTAAACTCACACAGCAGACCTGAGGAGGTAATGCAGAAAGTGGAGTCCGACTTGGAGCCTCTCCCACAAGCCACATCAGAGAAGAAGTTGTTCCTCAGCTCCCCCAGTAGCCCTGAGCGGCCCAGCAGAGGGATGGCAGCTCTGGTCTGTATATGAAAGGGTGAAGTTAGGACCGGTTATGAAATATGGACTAAGGAAAGCAGGCATCAACATGATCTAAATGAAATGGAAAACTGAATATCAAACAGCAAAGCATCCTTTGATACCTTATTGGCCTTACAGTGGTCCAGATACCAGAACCTGACGTGTCTGTTTCCCACAGTTACAAAGTAGGAGCTGTCTTCAGAGAAAGACACACCTGTCACCTTACTTGACACCTTGTTTGCAGCCACGACTACATCTTTCTGTAACAGAAAAAAAAATACCAGATTTACGATTGACGAATTCACTGAAAAATCCAGGTCTAGAAATATTCTAAAGTCTAACTTGACGTTTCTGTTCTTGTTTAGAGCTTCATGGGAGATCTGTCCCTGCTCATTGTTTGTGTGTTAAACAATAAAGAAGTTGGGAGCCACTCGGCCTTTGAGCACAAAGGCTGGAAGTGGGAGGAAATGGGTCAATTTTAGACCAATTGTTAAAATAAGGGCACTTTAAGGTGAAAGTTGACGATTAAAAGACATTTGGATGGATGGATGGATGGATGGATGGATGGATGGATGGATGGATGGATGGATGGATGGATGGATGGATGGATGGATGGATGGATGGATGGATGGATGGATGGATGGATGGATGGATTGATGGATGGATGGATGGATGGATGGATTGATGGATGGATGGATGGATGGATGGATGGATGGATGGATGGATGGATGGATGGATGGATGGATGGATGGATGGATATGGATGGATGGATTGATTCTCACAGATTTGCGCTGGAATATTAAATGTATGCTTTTGCAGTTGTTAATTTACCTTTGAAGAGTGCTGTAAAGTTTATGAGAGGACCTTAGTTTACAACTTATTTTTCTACATTTATTTTAAACAGAGTTTGGATCAGTAACTTTTTCATCAACATAAAGTTTATGGTTGATTAAATATAATCTGTCTTTTTTCTATTGTGCCGATATAGAACAAATGCACTTTGAAAGACAAAGAGTTTATTGTGTTTTTTTTGTTTTGTTTTTGTTTGTTTTTTTATGGATTAAAGCATGGGTTCCGACACCTATTTTGGCTGCACACCACCTTCTCAGTCCCAGCTAGGTTGACGCATCCCCATCTCCCCACACATTCAAAAAAAGAAAATGCTTTCTAAACAAATCAAATATTTTTTATAGCCATATTAAAGGCAAAAAAACTGCAGTTAAATGAACTTCACCCGCTTATCATAACACATAGTATGGAAATCCAATTAGAAATGAATTGGAATAAAATTGCAAAGATCCGCAACAGGATTTTAAGGATTTACTTTCAGGAGAACAAGAGACGGACTCTGATCAGTCAAACTCTACAAAAAACAGTTAATCTAACTGTTCTCCCTATGTTTATTTCATGTACCTGCTTCTCAATCTACATCTGACTCACAATTTATTTACGCTTTAAAATAAAAATCATAAGAAGCTGAGTTTGATTTTTTTCCAATAACGACTGAAAGAACTTTGATCGAGAGGTATGTACTGTAGTAACAATAACAGAATGAGAGTTATTATCTCAGCAGCCCTCATCCCCCGCCTCCACCTGTTGCTGGTTTCCCGGCTCCTGAATATGGGCAAAAACTCCATCTTTTAAATAGCTGCTCCCATAAAACATATTACAGCTCATGCTTGAGCATATTCAAGATATCGCGCCTACCTTTAATTTTCCTAGCAGCAGCAGTGTGGGCATGATGTGGGATCAGCATAGGGTTCAGAGTCACAGTGCTGTTTGCTTGGAAACATACTAGCAATGTACTACAATGCTTAGAAGAAAAACTTCTTCTATTATGCATCTTAAAATGAAACTTATAAAAAGAACATACTCTAATTTAATACCTTTTCCTGTGAAGAAATTCTATTTCTGTTAAAGTTACAGTTTGAATGTAAATGTTTACAAAGGAAATGTTTATTTACTGCTCTTTATTATGTGAGGAAAGAAATACAATTGTGTAACTATCAGCCCCTTATTACATGTTTCGTCTTGCTCCCCCCTTAGCGGCAGCTAATGTACCCCTGCGGGGCACGCACGTTACTTTGGGAATCCCTGGATTAAATTAACAAAACTTGCACATTTTACTCATCATTTCAAAAATATGTTTGGTTAAAAAAAAAAAACTATTACAAAGAACATAACCGTAAAGACATATATCACATATAGTGTGAGCCACGGTGGTGGCAGCATTATGATCTGTTATGCTTTTTGTTTGTGCCAAGTTGGATGAATGTATGAACAGATACTTGTTAGTTTTTTTACTTGAAAACTAAAGATAAAGGATTTAGTCATCATTTTATAAAAAAAAAAAAAACTCAGCTGTGATTTGAATCAAAGGTAATCTTATCTGCTTTCAGTTTTAATATGTTTCCAGGTTATTGGCCTTTATTAATTTTTTTTGTTTTTTGATCTATTCTTTTTTTATTTTTCTCCATAGTAATTTGTTTTTCAGCTGGATTTACACAGTGCAAATAAAACAGCCTCATAGCAGCATCTTAGTTTACTCTGATTAGACCAGTTCGGACTGACAGAAACTGTTCATAGAGGAGCTCGAGACAAACCTTCCAGGCCCAGACGTTAACCATCATGTCATGCTGGTTCCCCACACTGACTATGTATTTGTTGTTGTGGGAGAAGGCCACACACGAGACGCCATATTTGTGCTTCTGGAGCTCGGCCACCTGCCTTCGCTCTGCAACATCCCACAGTCTCACTGCTGGTAAGTGACCACTCTGATGAAAGGAAATACAGAAGAAGGAAAACAGGACAGTATGCAAGTATTAATGCACCGCTTTATTTCATACCTTTGCTGTTTTTTGTGTGTTTGCTTTTAGAAAAAAAAAAAGAAGAAAAATTTGCCTGTGAAATCCATCACTCACCTGTCCATCCAGTCTAACTGTGCCTCTAAGAGCTAATCCTCCCTGTCCTCTGACTGAAAATAGTTGACTCTAACTGCCAGCACGTTTGCCTCCAAGGGATCAAAAGGTTGGCAGGGTATTTGTGTTGTCCTTTTTATTAAGGCTGCAATCAATTGGTGTGGGGACTGCCAGTCTGAAGGATACTAAGCTAAAGAAAGTCTGTCCTGCATGCAAAAAAGACGGAAAGAAAACAAGGAAAGACGAGACAGATAGGCTGCATTCTGTCAGCTTTGCCTTGTATGCAAATGAGCCTCTGCTTGATAAAAGAGGAAGTGTGAGCGATATCAGATCATTAACTCATGGGTAACATCAACTTTTTAAAGACTTGAATCACACTGTGTAAAAAAGCAGTGATGCTTTTGTTCAGCCTTGAGCTAAAACGGTACAAATAAAACTCTGAATCTCTTGACAGCAGATTAAACAGCTCAAAGCGAAGAGGCCTGTAGGGTCGCATCCCCAAGTACCTCAGATTGAAAGGTGCAACGTTTAAAAAGGGTGTAAACAGTTGGTGCGTTTTTGGTCTTTTGAACTTTGATTTTCCGTAGGCATAGCAACCAGCGCGTGTCCATCCACTTGCAGAGAAAAGTCTGTAATCGGCTTTGGTTGGCAGGGGAGGATTAAGGTAGCCCATTGAGCTGAGGCCCACGTTGTAACAGCAACACACTGGAGTAAAAACGCTTCACTGACGAGACATGTTAGACTGAGACACAACAAACTTTATACCCATGGAGACAGATGGATCAACATCAGCAAATTTGTATTCAGCGACAACCCTCCATCTTGGAGGGATAAAACATGAAAACTACCACCTCTGTGCAGAAATGTAGCCTGTTTGATTCAAGTTAAAGTGCAGCAACATTTCTACTGTTAAAGGAATTTATTCAGGTAAATAAGAGGAATTTAAACTGACCTCTCCCGTCACCAGGTACTTTCCATCAGGGGAAAATGATAGAGCTGTGATTGTTTTCCTGGAAAAGTGAATCAAAGCATTTACCATCATCTGAGGTTTTGTGAAATATTAATGGTTTATGTTCCATTTTTATCAGTGCAGTTCAGATTTCGACAACACTTACCTGGAAGTATTTATAATGTGGTGCTGTCTGTTCTTTTTGGGGTTCAGCAAGACCACCACACACCTTCAGAGAGAAAAGAAGAAGAACAACTCAAATATAAGGACATAAGAGTTTGAGACTCAATTGGAAATCTGGATAAAACCCTTTTTTAGACACATACTAAAACAAGATTCATCCAAAGTTAAGGCAGCCAATGTCTGATGTTGTTAGATGTGAGTCATTAGTGGTGCAACCCCCAACTGTGTCACTGATGATTTTGTACATTGGAAACAAGCAGGACAAGTAGACATTTTTAATGCCTTTTCTTCTTCCATATTCAAATCACTCAGACAGAACAATGCCTCCTGTTAGAAGCCCTTCCTCTTTGCACTTTGCTCATTGGAATCTCACAGATTAGCAGTCATCCTGTTTCAGAACAGCTAGTTCTTGAGAGCCATGCCAGCAGACTACATTCCTACCGCCACAGCCTGTACAGATTTAAAGTGGGACAGCAGGTGGAATGCCAGATTGAGCTCCATTTAGAAAGTTTAATGCTTAAACTGACAGGAATCTTATTCACATATATTGATACAGAAGAGCTCAGACCTGGACATACATACACATCTCATACTAACAAAGTGTTAGATTTTAAAATTACTTTGCAGAACTATTTTTTTTATGTTTTTAATGATAAAACTGATTAGTATTTTTTGTTGCAGATTTAAAACACAAAATTCAATTCAATTCAAAATGCTTTATTAATCCCAAAGGGCAATTAAATGTTGCAGTAACTCATGATGTTATATTTTACTCATAGTGTTAGCAGGTGTTGTAAGGTGTTGATAGCTGTCGGCAGGAAGGATGTTTTGTATCGGTGTGTATTGCACCGGATCTAGAGAAGCCTCTTACCGAAGACACTCTGTTGTTCTTTAACAATCTTCTGAAGAGAAGGCTCACTGTTGTCCATAATGTTCTTCACTTTATGAAGAATTTTTCTTTGTGAAATTTCTCCAGATTTTCTAGAGGATTTCTTAGAACAGAGCTGACCTTCTTAATTAGCTTGCTGAGCTTTTTTAAGTCATTAGCTCTAATGCTGTTACCCCAGCAGAGGATGGAAGAAGAGATCACGATCTCCACAACAGACTTATACAAGATATATTGCATCTTGCTGCAGACGCAGAAGGACCTAAGTTTCCTTAGGAAGTATAATCTGCTCTGTACCTTCTTGTAGACGGCTTCACAGTTGTGTTTCCAGTCTAGTTTGTTGTCCAGCTGAACACCAAGGTATTTATACTTCTCAATCAAGTCCTTCTTCTCCCATGATGTTAACAGGATTCAACTTGTTCTTATTTCTTCTGAAATCTACAATAATCTCCCTTCTTTTGTTGACATTCAGGGTCAGATTATTGTTTCCACACCATGTCAAAAAGAGGTTCACAAGCTCTCTGTGTTCAGATTCTTATCCATCTTTGATGCAGAGTTATCTGCGTATTTCTGCAGATGACATGACTCAGTCAAAGTCTCACTGGAAGTCAGAGGTGTACAGAGTAAAAAGGAATGGAGAAAGTACCGTCCTCTGTGGTGTTCCTGTGTCCCTAACTACTAGAGCTGACTCTTCAGTCTAACAAACTGTGGTCTTTTTGTCAGGTAGTCTTTGATCCAGGTGATTGTTAATCCTCTACCTGAGTCTTCTGGAGTTTCTCATAAAGTAAGTTAGTTTAAATTGTATTAAATGCAATGGAGAAATCAGAAAACATGATCCTCACAGTACTGTCTACCCTGTCTAAATGACAGTGGGTTTGTTGATGCAGGTTTATGATGACATCATCAACTCCAACTCCATGGCGATAAGCAAACTGCAGGGGGTCTTGAAAGCAGCTTGTTTGTTTGCTGAGGCAAACCAACAGAAGTCTCTCTAGGACCTTTATGATGTGGGATGTCAGGGCAACAGGTCTATAGTCACTGAGGACTGTTGGCTTTAGTCTTCTTTGGTACTGAAACAAAGGAGGAGATCTTCCTCATCACTAGAACGTTCTTCAGGGTCAGACTAATGTTGAAGAGATGCTGTTGAATCCCACAGATCTGCTCTGCACAGGCCTTCAGGACTCGGGGGATGACATCATCAGCACCTGGTAACTTACCGTATTGGCCCGAATATAAGACAGTCTTTTTTGTTAAAAACGGTGTGAAAATGTGTGGTCATCTTATAATCGGGGTATAATCAATTATACTGGCTGACAGTTGTCTGGTTTTGTAAAGCCAGTGACCTCACTGTGGCTGCTCATCTTTCTGTCACAACAGAGAAAATGGGACAAGGATTGTACAAATGGAGAGTCGCTGCCCAAAACGGAGTGGATCAACAGTCAGACATGTTTGCAGACATTGGAGGCGGAGTTATTGCGCCTAATATAAGCAAAGAAAAGCTTTTCAAAAAATTGCAGAGCTGCAGAGTGAGAGTAGGAGTGACAGCAATTGCAGCGAGACAGAGGAGACCTGTGGGTAAAAGCCTCATGCAGGTTTGTGAGATGTTCCATGAGCAAAGTTCAGATTGCATTCGAGTTGATGTGTTGCAAGATTTCAATTAAATTTTTTGTTACTGTGTTTTTAAAAACTTTTTAATTGTTTAATTGCACAAATCTTTCAATGCAATATTATTTCAATGAAATTGTGAGCACTTTAATATAAAAAAAGTTTCTTTAGACCAAGTAAATTTTTTTTTTTGGTCTTTTTGTTTTGTTCCTAAAAATGGGTTATAGAAAGAGGGGGTGATCCTATAATCAGGGTCGTCCTTTATTCAGTTTAGTACGGTGTTATGACTCAGTCTCTCCAGTTGCCTCTCCACTTGACTCCCAGGGATAGACAGGTGAAAGGTGGAGAGAGCAGAACCATCTTCTGATTTGACTGATTACAAACTCATAGAAGCAGGAGAGGTGATGCCAGAGAAGGGCAGGATGTCCATTTGACTGTGGGCAGGAGAGGAAGATGCTGAGCTTGGTCCTGAACAGAATCTATTGAAGAATGTATTCAGTTCATCATCTCTGTCCAGACTTTCATCTGTCTAATCATCCTTCTGCTTGAAGCCTGTGATCTTCTTTATCCCTGACCACATATCTCTGATATTGTTTTGCTGGGGTTTGTTTTCCATCCTTTTCCTGTATGCCTCCTGCTTTCTTTTATCTTGACCTTAAGTTCTGTTTAGTCCTCATTTAAAAAAAAAAAAAGCTACCAGAGGTACACCTTTACATGACCTGCTCTGCAAAAACATCTCAGGATCCTGAATCATTGAGGCCCAGTGGAGCAGTTTTATACATGCTGCTGTATCTCATATAGATCTATGAATATCCAAATTGTCAGTCAGTCCACATTTAGCTATTTCGATGATCAAGCTCCACAGTTTCCAATTCCAGGTTTTAGAAATGGAGGTCTAATAAGGTCAAATTCTAAGGATAAAATCCTGTTGTCAGAAAAATTATGTTTTTCTTTAATGTTCCCAAATAATATACTAACTGACCTAAAGAGAAATGGTAAAACATTTAGTCAGATGATCAAGGCAATAGTGACCTCTTGCAGTTTATCAGATGAGACTCAGACACTAAACATAATCTACACTACATTCTGAAGCATGATCACACAAGTGTCATGGTAGGGGAATTATTATCACATTAGTCTCAAGTTTTAATAGTGCGCATAGAATGCTTTGAGCTATGATGACACTCTTTGAAAAGAAGGCAGCATGTTAAGAGGTGGGTAGCGTTTCAGAACCAGACCAATGTTAACATTCCAGTCCAAAACCTGGACCTTAACCGAAAAGAGAACTTCAGCTGTTTATCTCACAGAGACATAAAGGATGTCCCTAAGGAAGCCATGAATACGATTTGGACTTTCTCTGATTGAGGGAGTCCAATGGGCCTTCCTCTTCCTAAGATCCCCTCAGATAATTTGAAGATAATACCTGATCACAGAAAAGTGCACACTAAACGTCTGCCAGAGGTAGATATGATAAGCAACCATGTCTGCTGCTGATAAGTCAAAGAGCAGATGTTAGGATAACTGTCTCACCCTGCAGGATACGCCACAAGTCCAGATCGGGGATCGCAGGTCAATCCACTGTTTCCTGAAGTGGTGATCCCCAGCACCTTCTCCAAAGTCACCTGTAGAGCAAATTACTCTTTTTTTAAATGGATAGACAGATGGAAGCCAATAGTTGCATATCTAAGCATCAGGTTCAGTGGATGTAATGCAAAGCAGTGACAAGATGGGATGCAATGGAACTAAAATACATCAGACAACATGGAGATGCACAACAATAAAACATAAAAAACTGAACTTATGTATAAACAATATAGAAAATTTAAGGGGAAAATAATTTCTCTGGCTTAAGACTTTTCAAGGCCCTTTAAAGGAAATGTTTTTTTTTTTCTATAATGTCCTTCAGTACTTCTTGAATGTTGAACTATGAGCTGCTCTTCATATTTGTATTTTCAATTAACTTTTTTCATCACATACAAAGAGTGATTTAAAAGTGCTGTTGAAGGGTAAAGTGAATGCAAATGGGTTTACGGTGTTCTATTAACAAACATGCTTTCATATTAACAGATTAAACAGCTGATTGGAACAATATTAGGCCAACATAATCATAACCCTGCTGTTTGTTCTTGGCCTGTAAAGCCAACCAAACATTTTACACAAGCCTAAACGGAATTTAATCTGGGGATCACTCCAAGTTAAAGCAGATTTCTAATAAATTGATAATTAAAATGATTGTATCACAAACCTAGAAACGTTGGTTGCTTTGAATGTCTATAAAACAAAGATAAATTAATAGATTTCAACCTATTTCAAATTAGACTTAAGGTCCTAAGAAGCAACCAGCAGATGAGTTTGTTTACATATCTCTTGTATGGTGGTAACAATATTATTATAAAATAAAATAGAGTTCCAAATTACAAAATAACTCTGTAAAGTGCCTTGATATATAATGTGTCGTGCCATGTGGCATTCTAAATAAATTATATTGAAATATAAAAAGCACCAGTTCTGGTTTTACTATACACATATCTAAACCTCACTGTTAGGTTGTAGAGCAGGGGTGTCAAACTCATTTTCAATGAGGGCCACATCAGCGTAATTGCTGTCCTTAAAGGGCCAGATGTAACTTATAAATGTAACTAAATGTAATTGAATGTAATGTAAAATAAATGTAACGACCCCTTAATGTTAAATAACTCATTATTTATTATAACTTATTCAAGTGACAATTACAGTTGCATAGAAAACATATGCTTGCTTGTTGTTCTAACACACACGTGTCACACAGCCGCTTCCTACCTAGTCCTCCTCGTCGGTCTCTCCCCCTCCGCCCGAATCACTATCATCGATATTTTGAAGCATTTCTAAAACCTGTTTCGCTGTTAGGTTTCTTCTGAACGCCACTTTTTTCATATTAGCCAAAAAGTTCAAGGTAGAATGTTGGTTGCTAGACAACGAAATTTACAATGCAACTAATAGAGCCGTCAAAATGGCGGTTGTGGGGGATCGAGGTAGAATTAACCATATTTATTTTTTACGTTTTAATTGTATAAAAAAAAAAAAAAGGGAAAATGAAGGAAATATAGAAACTGGAAAAGTCAGTTAACATGAGCAACATAATCTTAAATATAGTTCTTTCCCTTTAAAATCTCAGAACCATCAAAATGACAGCTGTGGGAGTTCTAGCGGGCCACATAAAATGACGTGGCGGGCCACATCTGGCCCGCAGGCCTTGAGTTTGACACATGTGTTGTAGAGGAACAAATGTATTCGCCAGTTTGAAAAAAAATATATAAAAATTTTTGATCTAAAAACAAAAACTTCCTTTAAAAACAAAAAAATCTTTTGTCAACTTTTTGATTTTACCTGTTCAATAATAAAGCAAATGGGTTTTATTTTACAAAGAATTAAAAAAATATACATATACTTCCTGATTTCTTAAGAAAATTGATCTTTGCAGATTCAAAACTTATGTTGTGTTTTTCCTGTTTCTCTTAATAAAAAATGAAGATTGTGAAATGTTGTTTAATTTTCTCATTCCACTGGTCTGAGTGCTATTTTAGCCTAATCTAAACAATAACAAGCAGGTGACTTTTAGGTCTGAGCTCATTTTAATGATCAGATATTGGTTATCTGCGAGTAGAAAGCACTGAATGCTTATGGTCTTATAATGAAACAAAAATCAAGAAGACTGAAAGCAAAGTCATTAATAAAATATGAAACCTGTTTTGCTCCTTATTCAATCTGCTTATGTTTCAGTGATCATAAATGGACCCCAGGTCATGTTTTGGACCATCTTGCACTCCACAGATACACCCTTTAACTTTGTTTTAACCCTTTATAGGGAAAGTTATCATTTTTGATCACTTGCATGCCCCTTACAAATGGAGCCATTTCTTTTACTCTTAGAGTGTTTTTTATAAATTTCTTATAGAAGCAATTTTTTTTTAATTTATACGGGCAAGTTGGCGTTTCTTGTTACATTGACATTAATTTATGCCATCAAAATATACATATTTTTTTAACGTTACAAAGGTAATAAAGCCTTGTCCTGGATTCCAATAACACACTACAGAAATTATCTATAAATTTGTGAAAATGTCTTAAAATAAGTGTATTTAGCCTTAATTTGAGTAGGTAAATAAGAAATTCTCCTAGTTGAAAGTGCATTTGTATCCTTAAAATCAGATTGATATTATGCACTTCAAATAGGAGACTGCATTTTTTTTTCTTTATTATAAATGTAAATTTTCTTATTCCATTTGCAAAGTATCTCACTTACCTGCTCAGCGAAAAAATGCACTTATTTTAAGAAAAACTGACTTACTTAAGTTTCAGTTTTTTTGCAGTGTTCTCTTTGCTTGAAATTTAGATATTTAAAGTCTTTCACTGGATGCGCTATACACCTGGATGCTGTCAGCTACAAATCGAGTTCTAGGAGGAACTTTGGGTGAGTTCCTACCTTGCTGGAGAGGTTTTCCTTGCATTTCTTCTTGTTCTTCATTGATGGAGTGCGCAGTAGATTCCTGATGCGGCTTGTGATGGTGAACCCATCGCCAGGCATGGTGATTCCTTCCTCAGGTAATAAAAACCAGGAGCAGGAGACAGATCCTCTTCTAGGAGTAAACTCTTAAAGTGTGACAGCGCTGGAGCTGCAGGGACATGTGGATCCTAATCTCTGTGGGGTTTATCCTGCTCCAGAGCACTCACTTCTGCGCAAAATACGCTGCGTCTGAACGCAGACCTGCGGAACTGAATGGCTTTAATGTGAACTGCAGGTCCCATGATTACATCAATGATTCCCTTTGTTGGACTTCTGTTGGTTTAATGGGATTACAGAGGAATAGGGAGCCAGCCCGGCATCTGATTGGCGGATGTTTGTGCGCTCCAGGCTGCTGTTGGAGACTAAAAGGCTCCATAATCGCACACATCAGTCGGCTCCTGATGGATAAGTAATTCAGGGTCCTATTTAGACTTTTTACAATGGCTGTTATGATTCACTCTTCAACTTGGACCTAATCAAAGGATTTTCTCCCCTTTTTAAAGCTTTTGCCTTCCATCCTCATTTAGGATTGGTAAAGTTTTAATAGTTTACTGTTTTTCTGGTTCAAGATAATTTGCACTTTCTCCAGAAATCAAACACTGTATTCCTTTCTCTATAGAATGAGGGGGCATTAAAGGTTAAAAGCAATTAATGCAGAGAACAACTAGATGCTCCATTTTTTTCAACTGAAATCATTTAGTCCTTCAAGGATACCAAACATTTGAAAAGGGAAGCAGATTAGTTTTTTATATATATTTCTTAACATAAAAAATATACCAGTAAAAACATTAATTTGGACTGACTAGTTTAAAAAAGTTTTTTTCTTATTGTGAGATATTTTTCCAGTTTTAAGTCAAGATAAAATTTTATTTGCTGAATAATAAAATATTTTGAAAAGATTTAAAGTTCCTGTGTCTAATTTGGGAAGTTTTCAAACATTTTTTAATTATTTTTTGTTTAGTTTATGTTTTTTTTTTTAGCTGCTGTGTGACTGTAATCTATCAAACATCCTCCAACAATATCAGCCTCTCCCTCCCACAGGTTGAAATGCTTTTGACTGTGGTCTCTTTGGTCGTTCCTTATGTGCTGAAGCTTCATTTCTGATGTTCAGGTGCTGCAATATTTCCACGTTTTCTGAGAACATTCCTCCTCACTGAGTGGTCATTTTTGCCATCTGATCTGCTTCACTGAAAATACTGTCAAGGCTTATGGCAGAATAGGCTTTAGATTGATCAATTTTGGAGTTGGAACATTGAGCTCTAATGCTGGACAATTACTGAACAATCACTAAATAAAAAGCATTGTTGTAAAACATGGTGGTGGAGGGATCATGCTCTGGGGTTACATTTCTTCAGATGTTCATCAAAGCAGACAACACTCTGCTAGAGAGGTATAGCCAGGCATATTTTATTTCTCTGCATCTTAATGAACCCAGATATGCTCTCAAATCCACATTGCTTCATGTAGTTTTACTTTGCTTTGTGTGTGGACAGAATCTAATGGCATAGCAGAGGTAGATGTCTGGTTTGTGAACCTCAGGATCTCATCATTGCCTGTTAAGATGATATTCTATCAAAATCTTCAGGTTTATGTATCGAGGCGTCTGTTCACAAGCGATGGCAGCAAAGAGCAGGAGATGAAGGCTTCATTTGAAGCAAAGCTGGCACTGCTTTGATCTGCTGAAGTAAGAGCAAATATGGGTTTACCTGCACCTCTATATTCTGACTGAAATCAGTTAAGATTAGTTGAGAGGCTCCATTAGCAGGGGGAGCTTGTCGTAAAAACTTCTGCTTATTCTCTTTAAAATGAGGCAGTTAAAGTGGTTCTGGTATCTGACCAGCAAAGTCCACTGGAGGCCTCCTTTTCCTGGAACATCCAATGAGAACTTAAGACCCAGAACTGACTAAGATGGAGATCTTGAACATTCCTCAGTCAGAATCTCGAAGGGGAGACAAAAAAAGGAACCCATTACATGAGAGAACAATTTTTCAGCTGAACTGCAGAATAAATACCTTAGAATTTATGTTTTTTTTTTTAGAGACTTTGCATTATCTAATTTTTCTGTAAAATAAAATCCTTCCAATTGTGGTTGTCCTTTCTGAAGAACTTCAAAAAGCATGCTCCTTTATATGGCAAACTGCTTTCCAACATAAAATTAAAAAACTTCCATTTCAAGACCAAATATTTTATTAATCAAATTAACAAACCAGTGTTTCAAAATAAGCATAACCAAAGTTTTCCATTAAAAAAACAACAAAAGCGAACAAAATATTCACAGAGGCTATTTCTAACAGATTAAATTCATACAGAATAGAGAAATAAACATCTTATTGTTTTAGTTCTACAGGAAACATAAAGTGCAACTAAAAAAATATTTTCTTGTGACGATAAAAATGGTTGGGTAGTACTGTCCCTTCTGAAGTTTAGAACACTCTGAAAACCCTAGCAGACAAGTTTATGTAAAGCATAATTAAGTTAGTAATCCATAAAAAAAAGGGTTAAGTCACAATAATTTTATCTTAGAAAGCGTTCTGATGTAAAGCTGACACTTTGCTTCTACATTCAGCAGGTCAGTAATTTTCTTGGTGTTCAGCTCTACTCTACAGTTTGATAGCAGTTCATGACCGTATCTAAAAAAACATTGAAAGACAGCAGCAGCAGCAGTGTATAGTGGAAAAGAAAGGCCCTGATGGTTTATTTATTCATTATTTAAACAGGCACGCGTGGTGAAACTTATTTAATGCTGACACCAGTTAACAACAGAAGGAGGCAAACTGTCCGGTTTGAACAGAGAGCTGCGAGGCACCAAACTGAGAAGGTCCATTTAACACCTGAAACTACACAAACTCCAGCTCCGGTTCCAGTTCTGGTTCCAGTTCCTTTTCCAAATCTTTCCAGGAGCGTTTCTTTTCGCTGGGGAAGTCCTTTCCCAGAGAGCCACGTGTTAACGGCCTGGAGGTTAACGCGGCCCCTTGTGAGTTTGTTGAACTGGAGATAGAAAATTTGACGAGGGAGTCTGGACTTCGTGCTCGCTTTACAGCCAAAGCTCGACCTTGTGCTTTTTTCTTCCCACTAGGTCGTCCTCTGCCTCGTTTGACCAGGACGGGTTTGTCTCCGACTCCCCTTTCTCCTGAGGCGTCCAGTACCCCGTTTCTAATGTCCTTCACAGTGAAAGCGTTTTGTTCCAGCTCGGATACCTGCTGTATCCCAGCAGCACTTACCCTGGTCTGTTCTATGTCAGTCTGGCTATCCGAAGGGCCGCCGCTTTGGAAGCTGACAAACAGAGGGCTGGAATTCTGCTGTGGTTCAGTAGCAGGAGGAACCTGACCTACAGGTTTCAAACATAGGCCAGCCGTTGAAACATTTATCAGGAAGGGAAGGGACCCTTCTTGGTTCTCCTGAGGGCCTAGTAGGTTGACTAAAGGTGTAACACCTGAACTCTTTGGAAGGGAATCCGAAGGTTCAGATTCGTCCATTGTCACACTTCTGGCTTCCTGAGGCTGCTTAGAAGAAGAGGTGGAGTTCTCTGATCTCTTGGAAGGGTTCGGTCTCAAAGGTTCTGCAGTCGCTGAAGAGCTGGGCTGGTACGCCGGTATCGCCCTCTTGGACCGCATCAGCATCAGAGTGTAGCCACCATTCCCCACTGTGAGGAGATAGAACAAGTTATCAAACAATCAAAGCTAAACTTATCACAGGGAGGAATTGAGGTTTATTTCTAAATGGGCTTTCAAACAAAAATAGAAAGTTTAAGGGAACGGTAAGTACGCCTAATGTTTTCATGTGTTTGGGTATTTATCAGTAATTACTGATTAAACCACAAATCCATTTTATTTTAGAAATACAAAGAACCTTTTGGCTTTACAAAAAATAAATAAATTTGGCATCAATTGGCTGATTAAAATAGGCCTTGTGTCAGAGAATAATGGGTCAACTGGATGGGGGAACAGAAGCTTTAACAGTTTCTTGTTACAACCAAAGTATGCAGAATGATTGAGCAGCAAGCTGACGGACCACATCCACAGAACTAACCGGATCTTTCTGTCATCTAAAAACTGGAATCTGGGGTACCCTCATCCCTGCTCACTAAAACCCAACAAACGGTCTGATGACAGGGTCAGACACTAAACATCACCTCTACTGGTTTAGTCTCACTGTCTTTTGGGATGAGGTGAAACCAAAGAGTCTGCAGCAGCTGTGTGACGTTATCAAGTAAAAATAGACGTTAAAGTCTACAGAGCAATTCTGAGACCTTGTTAAAACTGTGACATGGATAGTAGGGTAGTTCTGGTAGCATAAAGGGAGCTACCCGGAGCAAGGTAGAACTAATACATGGCTGGTAAATGCAAATAGTTGCTTGAATTGACTGTGAAATTAATGTAACACTGAGAGGCAAACTTATACAGGTGCTGGTCATAAAATTAGAATATCATGAAAAAGTAGATTGATTTCAGTAATTCCATTTAAAAAGTGAAACTTGTATATTATATTCATACATTACATACAAACTCATATATTTCAGATGTTTATTTTGTTTAATTTTGATGATTACAAATGACAACAAATGAAAATCTCAAATTCATCATATCAGAAAATTAGAATATTACTGAAGACCAATAAAAACAAAGGATTTATAGAAATGTTGGCCAACTGAAAAGTATGAACATGAAAAGTATGAGCATGTACAGCACTTAGTATTTAGTTGGGCCTCCTTTGGCCTGTATTACTGCAGCAATGCGGCGTGGCATGGAGTCGATCAGTCTGTGGCACTGCTCAGGTGTTATGATAGCCCAGGTTGCTCTAATAGTGGCTTTTAGCTCTTCTGAATTGTTGGGTCTGGTGTATTGCATCTTCTTCTTCACAATACCCCATAGATTTTCTATGGGGTTAAGGTCAGGAGAGTTTGCTGGCCAATTAAGAACAGGGATACCATGGTCCTTCAACCAGGTACTGGTAGCTTTGGCACTGTGTGCAGGTGCCAAGTCCTGTTGGAAAATGAAATCTGCATCTCCAAAAAGTTGGTCAGCTGCAGGAAGCATGAAGTGCTCTAAAACTTCCTGGTATGTGGCTGCGTTGACCCTGGACCTCAGAAAACACAATGGACCAACACCAGCAGATGACATGGCACCCCAAACCATCACTGACTGTGGAAACTTTACACTGGACTTCAAGCAACGTGGATGAAGTGCCTCTCTTCTTTTCCTCCAGACTCTGGGACCTTGATTTCCAAAGGAAATGCAAAATT